ACCTTTTCACAATATTCATCTTTTGTGTGGTTGCTGTATTGTTTTCGTGGCTGAGAGTCAAGCCACTATGTGCTTACATCTACCCCAGGCTGGTGGGCAGAGCCTTGTCCCTGAAGCTTGGCCACACTAACTAGCCCCTGGACTGGGAAAAGTTGGTTGGGATAGTAGGAGATCTACACGTAGCCAGCTTATGCTGAGGTCTGATGACAAAGGGAAGTCTTTCAGCAGACGCCGCGATCTTTTTATTTTTAATAAATTTGTGTTTACTTATCTTTATGCTGAGCATCTTGCAGTCCAGAAGTGTAGTATATCCTAATCCGTGACCCCTCTGCGCTGATTTCTGCCGAATCCCTCTGTTTGTTACTTGCTTTGGTCTTTATAGTCTAATTTTTTATTTAGAATTTTTTTTCAGTCATAAGATCAGTAATTTTTGTTTTTACAATTTACACAACAGAAATCAATAAAATTTTTAAGTGTGCAGTTCATCTTTAATCTCAATTTATGCTAAAATTTCATATTCATATTGTCAATGCAAAAATATAGGAAGAATTTACCAATTTGAAGCATGGAGCAATTTAATTAGAGGTTTTCTTATGCTTTGTTTATTGCATATGAGATTTAATATAAGAAAGAGCTTTATATTTTGACCTTTCATGGTTTAAAAATAATTCATCCAAGTTCGAGCTTGAATATATCTTGGCTTCTTAATTTTTCTTAGTAACTAAGACTGCTATTCATGCATGATTATACAGCTTAGTTTTCTGTAATCTAAAAATAAAATACACCCCCACAGAATAGTTAAATGAATATTAAGATAGAAACTATGAGAAGTGCTTGTTCTACCATTTTATGAACATACTATGGGAATAAATTTTTCTGATAAGAGACTACTAATAACTCCATTAAATTTTTTAACATTAGATTTATTCCTTTTACTGTCATTGAAAATATTTGTATTTGTGTGTGTGTGTGTGTGTGTGTCCATTTGGTAAAAATTAAAATAATCTATTGAGTCAGTTCCAACTTAGAGCAACGCTATCCATCTAGGTCTTTTTTTATATATGGGCATGTATGTATATGTGCTTATATGTGATCTGTCTAAAGATTATAGATATAAAACTTACAGCCTTACAATTTGTACTGTGTACTTCACTTTTTTTGATGTTATTTTCATCGATCTCTATATATGCTTCTAATCTCTGGTGAGAAATTCCTGGTGGCATAGTTGGTTTTGCATTGGGCTATTAACCGTAATATCAGTAGTTCAAAACCACCAGCCACTCCACAGGAGAAAGAAAAGATTTATGGCTCTGCCAACCTCAGCTTGAGACATGACGTCCCTCCCTAGATGACAGTGCCCCAGAGGAAAGCACTGAAGATAGTGCAGCCAGGTCTGACTCACCCAAATGGGGACAAACCAAGAGGGGAGTGCAATAGACCAGCAGTAGGAGCAAAGGCATGAAGTCCCTGAAGAATCTTGCTTGTAGACTATGTGGGGGGGTTGGCACCTCATCTGGACTAATTGGAGGATATTTACAAGGAGGACACACTGAAAGTCTAAAGGTACACTGGGGTGAGGTGTGGGGCACTAGACCACTCCATCCTTGACAGCAGGAAGAGCAGTGGGGTTTTGTAGAAGGAGTGCCCCTTGGACACAAATGCTCAGGACTAAAATGGATATAAATGCTGTTAGGTAAGAAGGTCTTGGGTTCTTAAGGATCCCTAAAAGAAAAGGGAATTGGGCCCATGGATTATAACAGCGCCTGCTCACTGTTTAACAGAGGAATACTCATCTACTCTAGGTCAAGACAACAGTTAGACTTGGGGAACTGTTTGTATGGTCTCTCCTTTTTTCTTTTTTTTTTCCTCTTGGTGTCTGTCTATATAAGATAGCCAGGATAAGCAATCCCAACGAGATAGCAACAGATTGAAGGGTGGGAGGAGGCAATGAACAAATAAGGACCATTCCAGGGAGGAATAGCAAGGGATCTAAAATTGACCATGAGGAGGGTGTAGCATTCCTGGTCTTGTTTGATCAATTGAAATGTATCTGAGAGGAATTAACTGAGAGGTAAACAATGAGTAAATAATAGTGGAGCAGGAGGAAAGAATAATAAAGCAAAAATTATATAAATAGATATGTAAACATAAAGGTGTGTGTGTGTGTGTGTGTGTGTGTGTGTGTGTGTGTGTGTGTGTGATGTAAATACAATAAGGAAGCAGATGGACTTTGGGCCTCTACTTAAATCTTACCTTATTACAAGACTGGTTTGTTCAAAGAGTGTGGCATTGTATGATACTCATCTTCCCAACAAGATTGCTTAAGACAAAGTGGGTGCATAAGCAAGTGTGGTGAAGAAAGCTGATGCTGCCTGGCTATTAAAAGGAATAGCGTCAAATCAGGTCAATTTGAATGGGGGAGAGTGGAGTGGAGGCCCAAAGCCAATCTGTAGGCAATTGGACTTCTTACAGAAGGGTCTTGGGGAGAAAGATGGGCCAGTCAGGATGCAGAATAGCATTGATGAAACATACAGCTTTCCTCTGGTTCTTTAATGCTTCCTCAACACCACTTTCATGACCCTAATTCTACCTTACAAATCTGGCTAGACCAGAGCATGTACATGAGTACAGATAAGAGCTGGAAATACAGGGCAGATACATTCCTCAGGAACAATATTGAGAGTAGCCATACCAGGAGGGGAAGGGGAAGGTTGGGGGAGAAAGGGGAAACCAATTACAATGACCTACCTATAACCCCCTTCCAGGGGATGGGCAACAGATATGGGAGTAAAGGGAGACCTTGGACAGTGCAAGACATGAAAAAATAATAATAATTTATAAATTATCAAGGGTTCATGAGGGAGGGAGGGGGACCCAGGGGGGGGAAATGAGCTGATACCAAGGGCTCAAGTAAGAGAATGTTTTGAAAATGATGATGGCAACAAATGTACAAATGTGCTTGCCACAATGGATGTATGTATGGATTGTGATAAGAGTTGTATGAGCCCCCAATAAAAAGATTTCTTTTAAAAAATCAAATTTAAAACTTGAAAAAAATACAAGTATCTGGTGTGTTAAAGGCTTGAAGTTACATAAGCAACCATCTAGCAGGGAAACAACAAAGCCCACTGGGAAGAAGCACACCATCCTGTGTGATCATGAGGTGTTGACAGGAATAAAGTATCAAATCCAAAAATAAGTACCAAATTGACATGAAGGAGCATAGACAAATTGAAGGCCTAAAACCCACCTGTAAGACAATTGGACAGTCCCTCACAGAAGGGCCACATGGAAGGGATGATATATCCAGAGCTGATGAAACACATAACTATCCTCTAGTTCTTTAATATTTCCTCCCCTTACTATTATGGTCTTAGTTTAACCTCATTAATCTTGTGAGATCTATGTATATGTTCATCTGTATAATTAAAGTCTTTCAGTGCTTGAAATCCAAGATATATAAACCCATCAGAAATAGTAATGGAAGTAATGATTCCTTGAAGGTTCAGGAAGATGAGGGCCAAGGGGAACAGATAGCAGCAATGAATGTGTAACCACTCAAGGGGAACGAAAGAATTGTAGGTGAACGGCTGCATTGAATGGTATAAGATATATGCAAATAATAATAATATATAATAAGGGTCCTTGAGGGTAGGGTGGGGGAGGGAAGGGATAAAGAGGAACTGATATCAAAGAGTTCAAGAAGAAAATGTTTTGAAACTGATGGTGGCAGCAATTGTACAATTATGCTTGATCTAATTGAATTGTAGATTGTTATAAATATCTGTAAGAGGGCCTAATGTTTTTTAAAAAGAAAAAGATTTGTGGCCCTGGAAACCCATGGGAACAGTTCTACTCTGTCTCATTGGTCTGTTAGTTGAATTGGTTAATTGGTTGGTTGGCTCTCTTGTTAGTGCTCGGTTGGTGCTGTTGAGTAAGTGTTGCACTGCTAACTGCTGGTTGTTGGTTCAAACTTAACAGCCAGCTGCTCTTCTAGAGAAAGATGAGGCACCTGTTCTCATAATAATTGATGGCTTCAGAAAACGTATAGTCACTGTGAACTGGAATTGATTGGCAGTAGGTTTGATTTGAATCTTTATAACTTATTTCTAATTTTTTCTGAAGTCAAACCTTTTTCTATACCAAGACAGACATTTAACATATGTAAGGTTTGTGTAGGACTTTTAAATAAGGGTAAGGCATGGCCCATTCCTCAACAAACTGTTATTTGGCATAGCAGTCTGCTCTTTTTTTCTTTTTCTTTTTTTTAATGAGAAACATTTTATAAAAAGTCTCTTTCTAGTTTTTTGCCCATACAGTGTTGTACTTAGCACCTTTATACACGATTTCAAGGTGCTTGTTATTTTTTCAAATTAGTGAAAGTGTCATTTTTTATTTAATTAAAAATGTCATTAATTTCTTGGAATAAAGTTTGAGACTACACTTTTCTCAGAGTTCCATGTTTACCAATCTGATGGTTGAAAATGGCAACTCCTTGGGTGAAAGGGAAGTTTAAGTGATAGGGTATTAATCTACCTACATCTGCCATAATCAACTTTCTGATATAAAGTCTATCAAATAGCAAGGCTATTCATCCCTTAACTGTGGTCACAGGGAATTCACTAGGAACTTAATTCATGTAGAGGCCCTGCTAATGGATTTGGGATTGAAATCCATTTTTGTCATTGATATGCATAACATCTAATCTTTCTAAATGTATGGACAATTAATCCTAGTACCATTTATTAAATGTGGGGGTTTTTTCTGGCAATTTTGTAATGCTACTCCCATAACAAAGTCGACTCCTGTGATATATATCTTCATTTTTTGTTTAGTATATCAGTTTGGTTTTAAATACTAGGTTTTTATACTGTTTTGTTATCTAGTAGAGCTGCAATTTCTTACTGCTTTTCAAAGTTGGTTGTTCTCTGACTGTTATCTTTTTAAAAAGTTTCAGATTATCCTATTCTTCTTCTAACTTTTAAAATAATAATTTATAGTCTTCGGAGCAGAGGCGAAGAAAGAATTCCTAAGCCCGGAGCTATCTCGACTCCTGTAAAGCATGCAGATGAACATACACCGAAAGCAATGGAAGAAGTTGTAGGTGAAAGAAATGAGAAACAAGCACCCACTCTTCCAGGTAATCAAGGCACAATCCTAAGTTGAAGGAACATTGGCTGTTTGACTACTTAAAATAAATGTCAGACTACGTAGGTGATATTATTACCAATAGGACATTTTCTTTATTTCATTTCCAGCATTTTTCTTATGTATGGAAGGTTGGTATGAATCAGTAAGCTTTCGTGAATGTTTTTATTTTCATGATAAATAGCTTAGTGGCAAAAGAGTGGATATTTTAAAATAAGTTTTAACCCAGCAGAGAATGAAGATTGCTTTTAGTCTTTTTTTTAAATCATTTTATTGGGGGCTCGTAGAACTCATCACAATCCATACATACATCCATTCTGTCAAGCACATTTGTACATTTGTTGCCATCATCATTCTCAAAACATTTGCTCTTTACTTGAGCACTTGGTATTAGCTCCTCATTTTCCCCCTCCCTCCATGTCTCCCCTCCCTCCCATACCATTAATAATTTGTAAATTATTATTTTGTCATGTTTTACACTGCCCGACGTCTCCCTTCACCCACTTTTCTATTGTCCATCCCCCAGGGAGGGGGTTATATGTAGATTCTTGTGAACGGTTCCCCCTATGTACCCCACCGTCCCTTTATCCTCCTGGGATAGCTGTTCTCATTATTGTTCCTGAGGGGTTTATCTGTGTTTGGATTCCCTGTGTTTCCAGTTCTTATCTTAACAGATACACATGGGGGTTCTCGCTTCCTGAATTATAAAACTTCAGAATTACTTGTAAATTGTACTATAATAAATAAATAGGTATCCTTAACAAGTTGTCTGAACTTATCTTTTCTGCTGATGAATCTTATGTACAATCTGTAACACTCTTATTATTTGATTATTTCAGCAGTTACTTACATTATTTCATGTTTTTTGTTTTTGTTTTTTATATTTCATGTTTTGTAAAGAGAGTTCACCACAATTTAAATTTTCTTATAGAACCAAAGCCTGTGTATGCTCAAGTTGGACAACCAGATGTGGATTTACCTGTCAGTCCATCTGATGGTGTCCTACCTAATTCAACTCATGAAGATGGGGTTCTTCGGTAATGTGCATTTAAGTTGTGTTGTTGCCTCTACCTGTTATTAAGAATAATTTACAATGAGAATTATAAAACATTGCATATTCTTTTTTATAGCATATACCACTTAATACTGTGATTAGGTTATTTCTTTGTTTTAATTTAACATTTTCTCATAAAGTCAGTTAGAAATAAAAACCCAACTAGTTTTTAAGTATGGAATTAAAAAAATAGTTACTTCTTGTATAGATAAAGAATTTGCGCAAGCTGTCTAATGCCCTAGATAATCTAAGAACTCTGCATTTTAAGCCAAATAATGGTTGGTGGGTGGTCTCTTACAGTGTGCCTTAATTAGTGGCATCTCCCTAATAGGTGACAGTTGTACTCTGATTGTGACAAGATTGTCTTCAGAAACTGTCGAATAATGCCTTGCCATCTGAATATAATTTTCATCATGGAATACAGTTTCAATGTGGAAGAATGTTGTAACTTTTTAAGTTTCTCATAATTGTTGCAAATGAAATTTTATTTTTTCAATAGTCCCAGCATGAAATTGGTGAAATTCAGAAAAGGAGATAGTGTTGGTTTACGGCTGGCTGGTGGAAATGATGTTGGAATATTTGTAGCGGGTGTTCTGGAAGATAGTCCTGCAGCCAAAGAAGGCTTAGAAGAAGGTGATCAAATTCTCAGGGTATGTCGGCTTATTAACTCATGCACATGTAAAACTATTCAATTCTCTATGAAATGGCATTAATTACAACAAATCTATTGCTATTAGAGAACATTCTGTGCTCTCTTGAGCCAACTGATCATTCAAATTAAAGCTCCATTAGGTCTTGTTAGTATTCAGTTTGCTACTTTCCATTCAGAATTTGCGTTTTTATGTATTACTACCACAGAGTTATGCTTTGGTTTTATTTTATTCATAAAACCCACTATAAGGAAAATCTTAGCTTCTTATAATAGCTTTTTCAGTTCACTTAAACATTGAGACAGGCAAGACTCCCATGACCTACAAGATGTCAGCAGGAAAACAATGGGTGTTCCTCTCCCATGGGAGAGAGTAGTCTTTGCAGTAGTCCACATAACCCATTAGGACCTTCTTCACCACAGATAATAGCTCACGAGCAAGAAATTATGATTTATGTAAGGCAGAAGTGTAAGCTACTGTGATATTTTGAAGCTTTTTACTGTCCAAGACAACGGCTAGTCATAAGAGTGACCACGAAGCTTGGTTTACATGCACTCTCCCACTGTGATCTTTTTTGGATGTAAGTGATAGTGGCTAAGAACATGGTACTATCTGTACCTGTCTCTTACTTCTTTCTAAAAATAGTTAAACTTCTTTGCAGTCTGGCACATAAATTCTGTCCAGTTTTAATCATAAGATTACATTTTCTGGGTATGCATTTTTAATTTGCTCTACCTCTCCGTGACAGAGCAAATTGAAAACTCATACCTGAAAAATCTAATTTTGAGATTAAAACCAGACAGAGTTTACAAAGTGTCTGCGTGGTCTCTTGGATTTTAACCTGTTACTTGTCTATGTCCTGAATTTAATCTCCTATCTGCTCTAGAATTAGAGTATTGCTGCTTTGTTGATTTTTCTTTCCTTCTCACCGAATTCTTCATCTTTTGCCCTCTCCATTTGCTATGGACTTCTTGAAAATATGGTTAAATTCCTTCTCTGTCTTTTCAGTCATTGTTACATATTTCAGTCTGGCTTCCATTTTAATACTGTTGTTGTCAGGTACCAGTGGGTCATCTCCAATGCATAATGATCCTATGCACAACAGAACGAAACACTACACAGTCCTGCACCAGCCTCACAGTTGTTCATATGCCTGAGCCCATTGATGTAGCCACTGTGTCAATCCATCTCATCTAGAGCCTTCCTCTTTTTTGCTTGCCCTTCCACTTTACCAACATTATGCACTTCTCCAGGGACTTTTCTGTCCTGAAAATATGTCCAAATGTATAAGACTAAGTCTTGCCATCCTTGCTTCTGAGGAGCACTTGGGTCTTACTTCTTCCAGTAAACATCAGTTTGTCTGTTTATCAGCCCTTGGTATTTGCAATATTATTTTTTAAGCACCACAATTCAAATGTATCGATTCTTCTACAGTCTTCCTTAGACAGTGTCCAACTTTCACTTGCATATAATGCAATGAAGAATACCATGGCTTGGGCCGGGCACAGCTTAGTCCTGAAAATAACATCCTTGCTCTTCAATACTCTAAAGAAGTCTTGTACAGCACATTTACCTAATGCATTGTCTTTTGATCTCTTGACTTCTGCTTCCAGCAGCATTGATTGTGGATCCAAACAAGATAAAAACTTGGTAACTTCAGCCTTTTCTCCATTTATCATGTTACTGATTGGTCCAGCTGGGAGGAGTTTGGCCTTCCTTACATTGAATTGTAATCCATACTGAAGGCTGCAATTCCTTGATCTTCATCAGCAAGTGCTTTAGTTCTTCCTAACTTTCAGTAAGCAAGGTTGTGTCATCGGCATGCCACAGGTGGTTAATAAGCTTTCCTCCAAACCTGAAACCACACTCTTCATATAGTCAAGCTTCTCTGATGATTTGCTGAGCACACAGATTGTACAAGAATGGTGAGGATACTACCCTGACACCTTCACTGATTTTATTTCTTGCAGTATTCCCTTGTTTTGTTCACACAAATGATCCATATGCAAGTTCTAAATGAGCACAGTGAGGTTCTGAAATTCCCGTTCTTAAGGTTATCTGTAGTGTATTTTGGATCCCACAGTTGAATGTCTTTATAGTAGTCGGTTTTATTGGTATAATTCACAAACTATACAGTTCAGTAGTTTGTTCATTTTAAGAGTTATATAATTACCACCACAGTCAGTGTTTAGAACATTTTCTGTATTCTTACGCTTGTTATTATAAGCTCAACATTTCCACCCAGCTTCACTTGCCATACCCGGCCTTCCCACTCCTCCCCAAGAGGTGAACCATTAATCTAGTTTCTGTCTCTATAGATTTACCCACCCTGGATTTCATACAAAGAAAAGCATTTTTTTTAAAAAAAGAACTGTAACAAAGTAAAACAGAAAAACTTCACTCAGAAAGAAAGCAGGAAATACTAAAAAACTACAACAAATTTTAAATGGTTCAAAAAGGGATATCAAATGATAAGGTGTTTTTAAAAAATAGTTTTAAAATAGTCCTGCATCTGCAATAGTCCACTATCCAATGCGTTCTGCATGATTGTAAGGCTGTTTGCATTCCTGGTCTACATCAGAGGGAATTCAGCAGAGGTTTAATCCGACATGTAATTCCACTTCACTTTTTAAAAACTGAATCAACTTTAAAATGAGTTTTAAAGGAGAGCGAATGATAAGGCATATTTTAACCTAATTACAGCTGCCATAATAGACATTACAAGGCTCTCTGTCTGATAAGACAGCCATTTACATTTTTTGACTATGACCAGAGGGAATTCACCAGAGGCTTAATCCATGTGTTAACTCTGCAAATGGATTTTCGGCTTCCACTGTCATTCATAGCCTTTTGCAAACCAAGTTTTCACAGTTGAAGCTCTGATGACATTGTTCCCTGCCTCAGATTTGGATTTTATGATCTATTATCCTTGGATCACTCAGTGTATGCTTCTTCCATGTATACTTGGTTGGCATCTCACTTAGATGGCTACTTGTTTGAAGACAAACCTTGTAGAGCCCAGATTTTAGGCCTCTGATAATGGGGCACCATTTACTTTATTTACCACACTTTATAGCACCATATCTTCAGTTATCTCTTCATGAGGGTGTGCATCATGCAGGGCCATGTCATATGAGCCAATTGTCCCTAGATTGGGGATAGAATTAATTGCAAGCCAAATCTGTATCTGGGTTTATGTTTCTGGTTCACCTCAGAGACATCATTATCATTTCATTTTAGAGAACATTATCAATCATCCCACTGAGGCATAAGATAATGCTACTGATACTATCATTAATTTAGCAGTGGCATAGAATTTAAAGCATTGTTGAGAAAAAGAAATTACACTAGTATAGGCCAGCTATGAACTACAACATTAATTTTTGACTTGTACAAATTAAACTCTTTAAGTGACTGGACACTATACAAAAAATGGGAAGTGGTAATAGGGCAAAACTTTCAATAATAATCATTCCAAGTGGCAGAGCCACACCTACCAAATTAATACATGTTCTAATAAAGGATGGCATTAAAATAGTAATTATATGGGAGTTCTGGGGCACCATTCATTGTGCACCCTCAAGGCAAGAGATCCAAACCAAAGTCAAGCATCCTCTAGCTCTGCCCTTGGGATAGCAGTCATTTGCTTCTTTGCACACTACTGAATTTCAGCCTTAAGTCCAAGGGCTATGTGATTGTGAGCTAAAGCCCAGTTTACTTAGTGGGGTTTTCGCATTGAGTCCTCCTGGTATGGCTATGAAGGATTTTGTGCCCCTTGAAAGAACTGTGTCTAAAGAAAGCCTCAGTATTATATTGCACACAACCTGATTCACTAAGGACTAGAGAGAAACTGTCTAAAGTCTCCATTTATAACATAGTACCAGCCACATTCTTCCCTTCGGTCCTTTATTTTTTCTCGATAGGAGATTGTTCCTCCCCGTTTTCCTACCAGCAGACATTTTTATAGGTTGTAGACCTCAGACCTTACTATCATTTATATGTCAGCCATGTTTAACCATTTTAAATACTAGCCTAGAAGTACTTTCTTCTTTGAATTCTGTAGCATTCCTATAGTTCTCTAATCTTTATTAATCATCTTCTGCTTCCTTTCCTGATTTGTCTAAAATTTGGGAAGTGTCAATTGCTTCTTGTTTCTCTTCCTATACTATCGCCTGTGTGTCAGACTTGGTCACACTGTGAGCAGTTCTGATTAGGAAACTTTTCAATCTGAGCAATTTCCAGAACACTATCAGACTATGCCAGTCCTCTGTGGCCATTTTCATTGGTCCTCTTTTTAATTATTCAGACTTTTAACATGTCAAAAAGCAGGGTATCATTTCTGATTTGTTGATTCCATTTGATATTTTATTGTGATTCTTTCTGATGATACATAACATTGCTCTCATTTCAGCTATATCAAAAATATTTTAAAATTAGCATGTATAAGCAAGTTTTGGTTTCCTCTTAACAGTTTGTAGATGATGCAGATAGCACACTCAGCTACTAACTGAAAGGTTCAGAATCCCATTGCACCCAGTTAGGCTTTGAAAAAAGGCTTAGCAAACAGCCTAAGTATGTAAAGACAGCCATTTAAACCCTATGGAACACAGTTCTACTCTCAATCATGATGTTGCCATGAGTCTGAATCAACTCAACAGCAAATGATTATCCTCTTATTAATTGGGGCCTACATTATTTTAAAATATTTCTTGGTAGTTTTGACAATATTGTAAAGGACTGGACTGTATGTTTTGCGGGGGAGAGAGTTGTAATATGGAAATTTTCTACATGATAACATGGTAAGAAGAAAATAATCTGTAATAATGCCGTCACTAGTTTCCTTTGGATACTTAAACATAACATTCAGCCCCATGAATTGATTTCCGCTCATAGCGACCTTGTAGGACAGTATAAGACTGTTGTGAGTTTCCAAGACTGGAATTCTTTATGGGAGTAAAAGGCCCTGCCTTCCTCCCAAGGAGGGGCTGATGGTTTCAGACTGTGGACCTTCCACTCAGAGCTCCTTTGGCATACTTTTGAGTTTCTAATAGATAAGTATTGACTTGGCAGACCTACATTACACAGATGCTATTATAGGGCATCTGTAATTCCTATTTTCCTCCTTAAAATGTTTTCTTTGGTTTCTTGTTCAGTCTAGTGAAAGGTACCAGAGGCTGTTCTGTTGTACATTCCTATGAGTTTATACCTTAAAATTTGGAATTAGAAATGGTCTTTTCTGTTCTCGGTTGTGGCTAGATAATGCAATGGTTGATCTTTAATGCCAAGTTTATTGTGATTAATCTTTAAATACACCTTCACTTTATTTGCTTAGTTTCTGCTTAATTTAGACTATATTTCTTCTCCAAATACATAATATTAATTTCCTTTTTAAATGCGTGCTGTTTTAAAATTAAGTAAGCTACTTGTCATCAAGTGAACTCTGACTCATGGCAACACTGTGTGCCACAGTAGAACTGTGCTTCATAGGATTTGTAATGACTAGTTTTTCACTGGGCCTTTTTTTCCCCCCTGAGATTCTTCAGGGTATATTTGAACCACCAGCCTTTCAGTTTAGCATAAGGTGACCAGATTTTAACATTGGTAAAGCGGGACACCATTGAAAAAACTCATATCCTGGCAAAATAGCCACATGGCAGCCGAAAACCGTATACCCTAGCTTGTCGTGCATTCTTTCCAAAAATTGGGACTTTTGGCGGGGGTGGGGTGGGG